CCCCCCCCCAAGCACCAAGAAGACAGAGCATCACTTGCCCCAAACCGAGAGTTCCTATCTATACCTTAAGAACATAAGAGAAACCAATGTTGGATCAGGCCAAAGGCCCATCCAGTCCAACACTCTGTGTCACACAGTGGCCAGAAATACCAGGTGCCATCAGGAGGTCCACCAGTGGGGCCAGGACACTAGGAGCCCTCCCACTCTTGCCCCCCCCAAGCACCAAGAAGACAGAGCATCACTTGCCCCAAACCGAGAGTTCCTATCTATACCTTAAGAACATAAGAGAAACCAATGTTGGATCAGGCCAAAGGCCCATCCAGTCCAACACTCGGTGTCACATAGTGGCCAGAAATACCAGGAGGTCCACCAGTGGGGCCAGGACATCAGAAGCCCTCCCACTGTTGACCCCCCACCAAGCACCAAGAAGACAGAGCATCACTTGCCCCAGACCGAGAGTTCCTATCTATACCTTAAGAACATAAGAGAAGCCACTGTTGGATCAGGCCAAAGGCCCATCCAGTCCAACACTCTGTGTCACACAGTGGCCAGAAATACCAGGTGCCCTCAGGAGGTCCACCAGTGGGGCCAGGAGACTAGAAGCCCTCCCACTGTTGACCCCCCCCCCAAGCACCAAGAAGACAGAGCATCACTTGCCCCAGAGCCCCTATCTATACCTTGTGGCTAATAGCCACTGGTGGACCTCTGCTCCATACGCTTATCTAATTCCCTTTTGAAGCCGTCCATGCTTGTAGCCGCCACCACTACTTCGTGTGGCAGTGTCTTTTCATTTGGGAAACTCAACTCTTCTTGCGGAAAGAAACAAATTTCAGGGGAGTCCTTCAGAGAATCCAGTTCTAAATCCCAGGCTTCAGGTTGCAATACCGCCCGGCACCCAGCTTCTCTGACCACCCATGTAAGAGTCCTTCTGTTTGCTTTTACACTGAAGTACTTTGTCCCACTTTGTGTATATCTCCTTTCTGCCAACTCTCATCTTGTACATTTGCCTCGTTGCCCAATCAGCTGGCTGTCTACGGCCCTACCTTGGGACTTAGTCTGTTGACTTCTTTAACCATTCTCAAGAATTCTCCTTCAAAACTGGAGGCTCCTCAAGGGTCATTTTTCCTTATATGCTAATCTCTCAGTGCCATCCTAAGCAAAATTACACCCTTCTAAAGCCCTTTGACTTCAGTAGACTTAGGAAGGCATAACTCTGCTAAGGTTGGCATTGTGAAATATGAAAATCTTTGACTCAGCCAGTGAAAGTGTAAGAAACGAATGCATGGATTTTTTTTTCTCCCTTACAGTCTGCCTCAAGATTGATTTTGGATAGCCAGAGTAATTTTCTTAATTTCCTTTGCATTTCCTACGTTTTCGGATCACGTCTCATCTGCATCTGAACGAAACCCTCGTCGGCTGTGAATGTGTGCGATTTAAGATGTATATATGTTGTCCTCCCTTACCCCACAAAGCATTGTTAGTCCCTCGTGAAAAATGAGTAACTGTAAATCGCTCAGAGCCAGCAAGCTCTGCAGGATTGAGCGATCAGGGCTCTTCTTGTAGCAGGAACTCATTTGCATATTAAGCAACACACCCCTAATGTAGCCAATCCTCCAAGGGCTTACAGAGCTCTTCTTACAGGGGCTACTGTCAGCTCTTGGAGGATTGGCTACATTAGGGGTGTGTGGCCTAATATGCAAAGGAGTTCCTGCTACAAAAAGAGCCCTGAGATGATGATGATGATGATGATGATGATGATGATGATGATGATGATGATGATGATGATGATGATGATGATGATGATGATGATGATGATGATGATTTTAAGATCCTTCCTTACAAAATAATTTATCTCTTCCGGACTGCCTCTAAAATGACTTCAGAAATTTAAAATGCAGAGAGCCACGGACTCTTTAAGTGACTCCTGTAACTGGAAAAATCTCCCTCTTGAAAGAATCTAATAAATGTGTTCGCTCTCCAGGTGTTCAGATGATTTGTATCTCCTGTTTTAACATCCTTGGGAACCCCGTCATAAATACTGTGTGAATGCCGCCTCCATCTGAATGAATAATACTCATTTCATTATATCCCGAATTAACTTGCCAGCCAGTCTGAGGAACTTAACGTGCAGCGCAGAACACGAAGCCCGTGCGTGCCCCCTCAGCCCATTACATTGTATGCCTGTGTCGGATGCAAGGAGCCCTTTTTTCTATAGGACATTATTAAGCACAGCATGCCAAGAATTTCCAGTGTCTCTGCCTCCTTTGCACGGAGCCTGCAGAAGCAGATTGCGGGCCACAAAGGCGAGAAGAGGGGATTGAGCAGGGATGGCGGGTCCACAGAGGTCCGCAGGCAGGCTCAGGTGGTTTCCAGCCATAAGTTTAGCTAAGCTTTTCCCGTAATTTGTCACGCCTTCGTCTGCTCCTGCTGCGCCCGCACGTGCCAGCTTAGTGTCAGAAAGTCTGTGCACCAGACGGCCACTCAGGCCTAACACCCTGCTGTTCAGGACCAGCGGCTTGCTGTGTCAGCGAGGAGCAGAGATCCCTGGCAACAGCCGCGCTCTGTGCCGAATAGGCATCAGTCAGTCCCTTTAGACTAGGGTCTGGGCGTGTGCCTCCTCTTGGAAGGGTCTTGGCAGCCTGTTCATTAAACCAGAGTCATCAGGAGCTCCGCCTGTAGCAGGGAAGGTGGCCTCAGATGCACTCGGGCTCTGCTCGGACGGTGGGGGCCAGATTTTGCAAGCAAAAAAGGAAGCAGAGACGTCAGCAGGGGACCCTGGGTGAAATGCCGGGCTGTGATGAAAAACGAGGTTGATGTGAAAAGATTTTTCACTTGTGTCCAGTTTGTCAGTGTGATGAACTTGGGGCATTCCTGTGGAAACGGCCCATGGACGTCCTCAGCAAATATGGCATCCGTGGCATTTAAGGCCACATTGCCAGGCCTTCTCCGTGAAACATCCAATAATAGTCTTGCCAAGATGTGGTGTTTCCTCTGGTTTTACGTAGTTCCTCAGAGCTAAACGGCTTTTGCCGCGTTTCAAAAAGACACAAGGAAAAATCTGCAAAACCGTGACAGGGAATGACACGTCGCACTGACTGCTTGAGTGTTTAATTCACGCCCCGTTGTACAGGGAAATACTCTAATCCATTGTATATTTGTTCCGAATGTTATCCCGTTATTTGAAGTGAGTGATTCACCTTCAAAGAAAACAGAAGCGGTGCACAAAGAAAGAGATTTGCTCCCTCCACTGTGAAAAGCGGCCACAAGCAGGGGTCCCATTAAGACAGCTGGGAAGTTGCTTCAGCTTGTTCCGCTTGTAAGTTTTATTGGTGACTGGTTTTTGATTATGCATTTTGAATGGCGTGTGTGTTCCAGGTTGCCGGGTTTTAATTAAAAGGCGATACTGTTGGTTTTCAGAGCTTTGTTGTCTGCATAATTAAGACTGGAACATGCACAGGTTCAAATTTTTTTTTTAAAAAATCGGGAAGCGTCAAGAAATGAGAGACATCTTCTAAAACAAATGTTACATGTAAGTTCAGCGTACTTAACGACATCTGAACAATAAGGGTCGACGTTTTTATTTTGAATAATTACTTGCATTTCCTTCCCCCCCCCCCACACACACAGCCTGTAACTTTAATTTAATTATATCAACATTTTGTAAAAGTCTTTGCAATATGCATTCAGTGACATTCTGTGACACTTCTATGGAGTTCATTAGCTGTAACAATTGTTCCTTGTTTAGTTACATCATTGTCGTTCACATTTATGTCTTACAGAAGTCTCTCTTTCACTTTTGGCTAATTACCTTTGGTTGCCTCCACACGGAAACTGTTTTCCCTGTAGTAACAATGGAGCATCCACACAACAGTTTTCTGGTCCAGCCCCCCCCCCCCCCCCCCCCCCGGGGATGCCCTTCCCCCCCACCCCCACGGGGGGGGGGGGATTATTTTATTTTTTTTACAAAGAATCAGTCATTGGTCCTGATTCTTTTTAAATTACTGATTGCAGAATTACCAATTCTTTTAAAATGATTCTTTTTGCAATACCAGAGCAACAGCTGGGGGGTTTTCACCGCTAAAAAAGCTACGATGAAATGACAGCCGTGGAGGGCCGACGCAAGGGGAAATGGCACCGGTGTGTGCCCTCCTTTCTGTCCATACAGCATTGCGATCGTGCTTCTACTATGGACTATGAGAGCCAGTTTGGTGTAGTGGTTAAGTGCACGGACTCTAATCTGGGAGAACCGGGTTTGATTCCCCACTCCTCCACTTGCACCTGCTGATGTGACCTTGGGTCAGTCGCAAGCTCTGGCACAGCTGTTCCTGAAAGAGCA